GCTTTAGCCAATCACAACAGTCAGACGCATTTACGTCCGCGCGGTTTGTGAGGATAAAAGCCTTTGAATATTTTTCCAGACACATTTAGCTGCTAGAAGTTAGTCAGATCACGTTTATATGTTCTTCTTAATGCCAACTGTGTAAATAATCATCGATGAGATGCTTATGATAAGCCGTTGTTTGTTTACCTTCAAGCTTTGCGTGCGCCTATGAGCGCCTGCACACGCACATATTATGAACATCTCGACATGCGAAAGTGATCCTGCGAAAGTTGTTCACAATATTGATCATCCACAGAGTCTGTAATTTAGTCAAATGTTTACAAATACAAGCGCAGCCGTTTAAAGCTCATTTGTGGTGAATGACGTCAGAATTTACCGGTATTTTGGAATGGATGTGTGAATGCTCTTTTCTGGAAAATTTCCGTAACGTCTTCGCCTGTGTGAACAGCGCTTTTTTGAATATACCGGTAAAGTCGTTCCGGAAATTTTCCGGATATTTACCGGTATCACTGTGTGAAAGGGGCTATTGGCTGCGTCCGAAACCGCCTACTACTCAGAAGGTACTGCATTTGAATTTAAACGTACTACTCGGCCGTTAGAAAAGTATGTTCTATACAGTATGAATTTGAAAAGTATGAATGGAATTCGGACGTACTACATCCGCCATTTTGTCATGGTCACGTGACCTACCTGCGTCAGTTGCGTCGCCTCACTTCCATTTATGAATTCTCTCACGGGGCATTATAGGATAGCGCAGCTTGCATGGGATGCGCACTTCAGAATCTCGCCGGAGGCAGTAAGTCATCCAGGTACTTCTCACCTACTGATTTTCGAATTCTATGAATTCTGACATACTACTCGGCTCGCATACTGATTTTAGCGTACTATATAGTATGGAAGTATGCGGTTTCGGACGCAGCCATTATGTCATCCTCATCCCATTCAGACCCTGATTGCTACACACCTGAGACACATTACCTGATTACACTCACACACATATAAGCAGCTCTCACTGGACACAGTCCAGTGCGAATTCTTGTTCTGCCCTGCTGACATTACTGAGCGCTATTCACTCTTGCCTGATCTCCTGTTGCTAACCCGGACTATTCCTCGACCTCGACTTGCCTTGCCTTGCCTTGCCTTGCCTTGCCTGCCGCGTGTCTAAAACCTTGCTTCATATCACCGACTATCACCTAGCTGCCTTCCTCTGACCCATGCCTACTACATCGACTCATGATTGCCAGCCGCCAGCCTATCGACCTTATTAGCCTGTTTCATGTGAGTTCACACACCAGTATCTACTGTGTGCTTGTTATTAGACTGTGTTTAATAAATGTACTACAAATGGATCCCTCTGTGTCAGACCCCTTGTTACAAATATATAATATAATTACACAAAACCACAGGATTCAGCTCTAAAAAGACCACTCACAATGAGAGTTAACTATAACAAAACTAAAAAACACACAGACATCAACATATTGTCTTTGAATCTCAATAATGGTGACAAAAAAAAAAATCTAAATCAAATAAAAACAACCCAGAACTATATGAAACTCTACTAAAATAATACACCCCAAAAACAACAAACTAAAAGCAGAGAAAGAAATTGTAAGAACTTTAAGCTGCATAATTTATTCATTCTGCAATGCATGCTGGGAGTTTTGTACTATGCTGGAACCCTGCATGCATTGGCATGAATTAATTGTGCAGCTTTTTTTTTTTTTTTTTTTTAGCAACCATGGTTGAGGTTTATATCCTGATTCTTGATGTCTGCGTGTTTAATTGTGCAGCTCTCAAGGTTTAGTGCATGACACTAATTTTAAATTTGTAATATTTATTTCTTTCTTCTCTTTTTGAAAATCTGCCGTGTGTCTCCCCAAACAGCATTGATATAAATTTGAAATTCTTTAATTATGACCTAACTTATAAAATGTCAAAAATTTATTCAGTAACAATTAAGTAGCGTATATTTTCTCATTGTCTTTCTTGCTGTAACTAATGAGTTTCAAAAACAGTTATATCAGCCTGAGAAACAGTAAGATAGAAGAGTACAGAATCAAGAGCCCAACTAAAGCAGCCTCTGCTCTACTTGATAATGACGTCAAATAAATAAATAAATAAAAAAAACATTCAATAAAACATATAAACCTCTATTCATTATCAAATATTCCTGCAGATATGAAAGGAAAGTTTTGTGTCCAAACTGTAATCAGTGAAACTGTTAATGCTGTTATTTGATGGAGGTGTTTAGTCCTCTGTTTTAATTAGGTTGGTTTGGTGTGTGGCTGTGTCTGTATGTGTTTATGTCGTTCTTTCCTTTAGTGATTGAGCTTGTCTACAGCAGCTGTTCATCAGTGTCTGAATTCACTCGTTGTGGTCTAATGGACTAAACTAATCGACTAATTTAGGAACTAGTGAATGAGGGTGTATAGGGAGATTTTAAACACTCTGATTACATTCTGGAAAACAAAGAATATATCTGTTACAGTTATTTTCCATATTTTGTAATGAGCTGTTAATCATTGAACAGGTTTTCACTCTAGTCTGTACAGACTTTTACTGTCAAAATCACCAATGTTTTTTCAGTGCATTAACCATAAATGCTATGCACTTTTTAAATTTTTACTGTAATCTTCATCTTTTGATTCCCATATAATAAGAGCGATTGTGGTGGTTTGAATCTACCTTCCTCTGTTGTTTTAAAAATAACCTATTGACCAAAATGTGGCATTGCAGAAGCTACACAAATCCCTTTCATTCATTTTCTTGTCGGCTTAGTCCCTATTTAAATCCAGGGTCGCCACAGCGGAATGAACCGCCAACTTATCCAGCAAGTTTTTACGCAGAGGATGCCCTTCCAGCCACAACCCATCTCTGGGAAACATTCACACACATTCACACACACTCATACTCATACACTACGGACAATTTAGCCTACCCAATTCACTTGTACCGCATGTCTTCAGACTGTGGGGGAACTCCCTTTCATTCATCTTAATTAATTGAGCTGTTTAAATTTGAAAACATAATTTTTCTATTTTTTCCAACAAAATTTTTTTTGGGTTTTAATAGACAATCATAAGTGAATTGTTTAATTTAAACATAGTTACGTTCTTTGGACCAACTATCCATTTTTTTGAGTGTAGTTGCACTCACGTTAAACTTCTTTGGAATAACATTATTTTTTTATTTATCGTCCTTATTTAAAGATGATTTAAATGTGTCTATAAAAGACATATTTCTCTATTTCTCAGGTAATAATCATGCTCTCGATTTTATTGTTAATTTGTTTGTTACATTTTTTTTAAACACAAAATAATTTCCTGAAGGCAATACTTAGATTTATTGCTTTCCTTGCTGAAATTTCATTCAATATTAAATCTCTTAAGCTTATTGATAATAATAGGAATAATAAGTTTCTTAAAGCTTATTATAATCTTTTTTTTCTTAATGATTGAGGCTTTGTTTTTTATGTTTGTGTGTGTTGTTTTTTTCTCTTCTTTCTTAAATTTTTGTTATTGTATTTTTTTCTTCAATGCAGTGATGTTGTTATTATTGTATTCAATAAAAAATAATAATAAATAAATTACTGCCAAAACAAAAATCAATAAAACAATTATTCACTGTATTTTGACCACTGTTACAAAACAAAAACAACTGACACTGTTAAGTGGTTAATGTACTTTGCATTTCCCATAATCTATGACAATAACATTTTGTTGGTTGATAATAATAGTCATTGACTATATAAAGGCCAGCTTACCTTAACTTTATTACTTATTGTTACGTGAAGTACTTTACTTCACTTTAATTTTGGGCTGAAATAGAAAATGCAGTTATTACTTACGTTAGGTTAACAGAAAATTAGCTTTACTTTTTCAGGAACTAACTCTTATAACATTACCTCACAAGCACAAACATTAACTTACAAGCGCCGTCTGTTAATTGCTTGGTTAAAAATGGCAAATAAACCGTCTGTTCCTGAATAACATGACATAAGAACCGACAACTAAAGCTACTTGGTTAATCTTTTAAATGACATGCACTATGCAGAAACATACCAAACAATCATTTAACAGACAGAATTAGACATTTCAACATGACAATGGGTAAAGTTCAAATGAGGCTTTGCCTGTGGTGACAGTGCTTAAGTGAATAGTAAAGAGTCAAATCCGCCTGAAATTGATTCCTTTTTTTATAATGATGTGAGACAACAGTGTGATTCATTACTAATTTGTTATACTGCTTGGCCACACAAATTGTATACACTAATTGTTCAATAATTGTATGTTGATGAGTATGACCTTACAGTTTTTTTTCGATTGCTTGGATGCAGTTGTCATCTGAAACTCCACCTTTTCAAAACAGTTAACACACAGGCCTAAACAGCAGCACTCATGGTCAAAATGACACATTATGCTTGCAAAAGGCACATATTGTGTCAAAACATTTAAAATATGCAACAAAAGCTAGTTTTACCTTCAAACAACACAACTTGCAAACAGGTATATGAGCTCTTTCAATTAATCATTACACAATGGACATATATATATATATATATATATATATATATATATATATATATATATATATATATATATATGCCTATATATATATATAGGCCTATATATATATTATTATTATTTTTTTTTTTCTTTCAAATTGTCATCCAAACTGAGAGTTATTAGTGTACTGAAAGTAATTTTAAAGTTTTAATAATAATAATATCGAGAATATTTAAAATAAGATCTGTTGCCGTTAAAAATTACATGAACAATGTATAGCATTTTTACTATAACGAACAGATTAATATGTATCACTATTGTGTTATGAGACCCGGTGCTCTCTCTCTCTCTCTCTCTCTCTCTCTCTCTCTCTCGTTCTCACTCAAGATTTAGTGACAAACCTGTGATCCTTTTGTTGAAATGTTAGCCAATAGAGAAGGATTACGCCACCAGGCAGTGATATATAAGGGGAGCATTATAGGCATCGGTACAGTTGAAAAAAGCTTAGTATCAGCTGGAGCAGATAGATTATAAAATGATATTAAAACAAACTGAAATGCATTAAGGAACGATATTTAAAAGAATTCGATAAAAGCCGTCGCTTTGTTTTTTTTTTATGAAATAGGCTACATCTTCTAGAACGTCTTTATTCGTATTTATATATTTAATTCGTCTTTCAAACAAAAATAAAGACAATAACAACTGTAGCCTATTTTTAAAAATCAAGAGAAAACCATTGTTTCCTGATATTTAACAACATGAAAAGGTATAACTTTTTACTGTGCTTAACGGTACTTATTTCTCTGGGACTGTCCGGAAGCGATGAGCCGAACCTCTTTCTAGCCCCACTGAGCGAGATGTCCTCTGATATTGGAGTTTCTCTCTTTGACGTGGATGATGTGGAGTCTTCTGAGTGTTCAGCGTGCGTGTGGAGAGAACAGAGTAAAGTCTTGCGACTGGAAACAATTAAATCACAAATACTTAGCAAACTGCGCTTAAAACAAGCACCCAACATCAGCAGAGAGGTGGTTAATCAGCTTCTTCCCAAAGCACCTCCGCTGCAGCAGCTGTTGGACCATCATGACTTCCAAGGGGACGCATCTTCCTTAGAGGATTTCATAGACGCCGATGAGTATCACGCCACCACCGAGTCCGTCATCACAATGGCTTCAGAGCGTGAGTTACAAAACTTCAAGCTTCAAGCTATCTTTGCTTAAGATGCATAACTGATGTCTGTTTCATTCACAACACTCTCGCTCCAATTTTCTTTTTTCCTTCAATCGCATTTACACAACTGTTTTGCACAGTTAAAGGACAGCCACGAATATGCCACAGCATCTTTACAAACCCTTAAAGGATGACATGAAAGAGAAAAATGTGTTTTACGTAATTTACAAATATTTTTCAGATACAATAATACACATAGCCTATGATGCGAGATCTCTAACCATTTATGAAAGCCGTCTTTGTTGCGCCTGTTACTGTTTACTTGAAAATAATCAATATCTTTAGGCAGTTGCATTGAATGTGGTTTACATTTACGTTATGCTAGTTACAAAAACAACAACAACAACAACAACAACAACAACGGAGAGCTATACAATATTTTTATATAATAAATGGTGCACAAACATGCTTTCTTGCTGGTCAAGAAACAGAGTCCCAAAGTAGCCTACTATTTTCTCCCACAGCAGCAGCAGTCCACGACTTGCACTTCCCTTTTAAAAGTGAAGTTTATAGGCACAGGCCGTTTTTTTCACCTCACGGCGACACAATGCTCATGGAGCTTGGGTCGAGGGGAGTGTGTGACCTTTCCGCTTAGAATAGCCGGGGTTCAACAACATTTACACACATAATGTATTCCGCACAAGGCAGATGAAAAGCCGAGCAAATAATCCGTTTTTTTCTTTCTGACCAGAGTGAACAAAGATAGGGTTGTGTTCCCCTAACTAACCTCTGCCTTGATTGTCACACAGCCCACGTTCCTGCTGGCATAATGAACGCGCTTGACATTCAGGAGACGAATCACATAAATGATAATTTAACGGCTGCAAAGCTAATGGACGCCTTTTATAAATAACTATTTGTTTTCAGAAATTATTGTTGTAACAATGCAGTATGAGAGTAGCATGGGAAACTGACTGTCATATAGATTTGTCTGTATTCGCACATAATTAAACATCATTTGATACATGTCTATAAATTTAGACCAGGCATTACTCTCAGTCAATGTTTTTTTTTTGGTTTTTGTCAGTGATTCTTGGCTTGCACCCTTACCTCTCCCACTCCCCATCTTCCAGTGATTCACTGACTTGTTGAACTTACTGAAGTGCACAAGAAAACATTTACAACAGTAATTATAATCTGCAAACTGCATTAACGGGTATCTAAAAAACACCAAGCTGTGCTCAATGCAGAATACAGAAATGCAAAATGAGTGGTTTTTTTGAATGTCATGGGATATTTATATATTTATTTATTTTTCGACGAAATACCGTTTAAACTTTTCTTTATGTTCTGCAAAAAATTGTACTCTGCAGTACACTTCCATAGAAACACACATTCATCAAGTCAGAGAGGAAAAGGCCTCCTATTGACAAGAAGGGTCAGAGAGTTCACAGCAATGTGATATATTGGATGAGGAGCCAATTAACCTTTTCAGGTCTTTTTTCTTTAGCAGCAAAAGAGAACTAGTAGATTAAACACTACTACCCCCACCTAAAATGTCAAACAGGATGGGTTGGAGATTAAACAACACTACCAGCATTTCCTCCCCCACCTAAAATGTGTTTTTCTCTCTCACACACAGTTGCATACACATTTATACACACACATGCACAAACACTTACTCACTAACCACTCCCAACCAGGGAAAAAACAAAAAAACAAAAAAGTTTTTTTATTGTGTTGACCCTATAAAAGGGTAATTTCCTCAAGGTGCAGGAACCATAAACATCAGAACAGAGAATGTTAAAAAGACATGACAGTTCTGTGTGTGTGGGGAGGTTTTTAGTATTAATGTTCTGTGTGAACACCTGTGTCTGAGACACACTCTCATTCTTTTTGTTCATCTTAGAGAGTAAATGACAGATAAAATAAATTAAGAAAAGAAACCCAAGTGCAAACCCTGGTAAACGTAGTTTCTATCATGTTTTGTAAAATAAATAAAAAAGTAAAGGCACTAAAGAACATACGTTTAGTAGCAATAAAATTATATTTAATAAATGTTTTGGCTAATAAACTTTCAATGAAACTAAAGTCCATCATATCCTGGATACAATTTCACTGCACTCTCAAGAATGCTTCTCTTTCTTTCTCTCATTCTCTTTCCAAATCTCATGGATCTGTGCTTGTCCTCCCCTTTGGAGCAAATCCAAACCCTGTTAAACAGGTACTGATCACAAACAAACAAAAGATTCGTATAGAACATATTGAACAAGTAGATACAACTTGTTCAAAGCTCCTGTTGACTAAGAGGTCAAAAATGACATGGCAGCAGCAAATTAAAAAAAATATATATATTATTCTAAAATGACTGCAATAACAGAAAAAAAGGAATCATTCTTTTTATTTTCATATTTTCTTAAAAGCTGTGTTCATTTAGGGTTCAACGGTCACATGTAAAATTATTTTTACACAACAAAAACTACTGGAGCACACACATGCACACTGCAACACATATACACACCGTAAGAATTTTTATGAATACAGTCTTGCTAAAATCCTTTCACATGTATAAAGTTGCTTTTAGCTTTAGAAAATATAACATTTACTTTAGTCAAAAATGAGTGGCGGCCACTGGTTAAACATGCGAAATAAACACCATGAAAGAAAAGCTAAACACTCACACAGTTTGTGATGAGATGAGGTTGTTTCTTCATGCTAAATGTAGCAACTTTATTTTAGTGAAGGCAGGTCATTTTTGACCTGAAGGGTAAACAATATGTATAGAGAAATCCAAGACAACAGAAGGGGTAAAGATTTATCTTAATCAAAATCATGTTTTTTTAAAGGCTGTAGTAAAAACAAACAAACAAAAAATTACTTTTCTTTCTAAGAAAGTAAGTTTTCTTCTCACTAATGCTTTACTTACTTTTTCAGTCACCAATTTAGTCCATTAAATTTGGTGACTGGCAACGGAAGTAAACTGTTGGAATTAAATCATCAACACATGACCATGCTGACTACTAACATGAGTTATGCCATTAATAGATATTAATACAAAATAGGAAATTAATTAGACAAAAAAAAAAAAAAAAAAACACCAGAACTATCCTTAACAAAAAGATGTTTGCTGCTGTAAAATGTATTACATTATTAAATTAGTATTTATTATTAATTATTAAAACAGAGGTCAGAAGATGGTCCATTTTTCATTGTCAGTCTTCTCATTTTAGTTGCCAAAAAGAAAAATAATGTTACCAAACATGAATATTAATTAATTCATTTCATGAATTATTTATTGGGACAGATTGCCATTTAAAATTAGGCCATAACAATGATCTGTGTGCCAAGGGGGAATAAAAAATAATAATAAGATTATGTCTAGGCTCAGATGGAGACAAATACACAAATGTGATAGCTTAAGACTCATCAGTAGTCTAATGCTGCATCATTTGTGATTGTCTACAATTGAACATCTGAGCCAAGACATAATCTCTTTTTTGGGGGGTGGTGGGGACTTTACCCTAGAACACTTTTGTTTGGCAATGTTATTTTGTTCTCAATTTAGGTGTTCTTGGTAAACAACCTTATAAATCAAATAGAATGAAGTAGTTAGAATAGATGCATATATATTGTATAATGTAAAATCCATGTAAACCTTGGATGAGAAGATTGTCCCAAAAATGTGTAAAGCGCTTTATGAATATAATGAATTATTATTATTATTATTATTATTATTATTATTATTACTATTGTTATTATTAAACCAGGTGTGTGTGTGTGTGTGTGTGTGTGTGTGTGTGTGTGTGTGTGTAATATACTGTAAACTACATCACTAAATCTAAATTTTTGAGTTCTGATTACCTTTTGTTAAAGGAATATGACAATTTAATAAATACCTATTAACAAATCTACAAGACCTGCATTGAGTTTTGCAGCCATTTGTCAACATTTTGTTTGTTTATACTTAAAGAAATCAGATTGTCAGGTTGTTGTTTCCCCCTAAGTTTTATTTTCTTTTTAGCAACATACATCAGAAGTATTGCTTTTCTGGAAAGATAAAAACAAAGCATTTGTCAGGAGTACTACAGTTTTTGCATTTAATTTGTTTTGCTGCACAATATTTCAAACCTATTTGTGATTGTTGCATTTTTGCAAAAAGTTTTGTTTGTAACAATAACATTTCACCATGTCTATGGTTTAACCAGAAATATGTTTTATTATTTTTTTACAACTCAAAAATGTGTAACCTGGATAAAAATGTAAGTCAAGTTAATAAACATTCATGTAGTGCAATGACATTGAAAATGTTTATAATGTGCAATAAAACTGGAAAAAAAAGCACGGCAATGCCCAGTGAAAAAAAAAAAAGTTGAATAAAATGGCAAAAATGTATATACTGTAAGGTTCGGGGAAATATTAATACAGCATAGTATCACAATATCTCCTGTGGTAATACTTTATAGATACATGGAATGCCCGATCAACATATGCAACGAAATAGTATAAATACAATATTGTTGATATTAAAACAGTTTTCTTTACATGAATTCATTTGGATGGTGTTGCTTTTTTCTGGAGAGCTGTCAACTTTAGCATTCAGTAAGCTCACCTGACACTGACCAATTTAGTTACTATCTAAATGAATTAATTTATTAACAAAGTAAAGATTTTAAGATAATTTTATAAATTTTTATTTTTTTAAATATATAATTTTATTTCAGACAAGTTTGTTTACATTTGTAAAATAAATCTTTGAAATGAGCAGCAAAAAAGAAAAAAAAAACACAAAAAATAAATGAATTAGCTAAATTAATTGAGCAGCTTATTGTATTTTTGTCTTAATGTGACAAATACCTCGCATCAAAATTCCACCCACCATTTAATTGTTATCAGCCTGATTAGACATATGTCACTCACCACACTGTTTCCTTAGTTTGCTATATAACAGTTTGTTCAAGAAATATACAAAACCCAGGTTAAGTCTAAACATTAAAATGCTATTCAAATGT